TCTACCATGTGTTGTGGGTTTTCATGTTTTTGGTACGTTACAGCAATGGAGATACGAGGGCTTTAGATCCAGTCACTGTTCTCCACCAAAGCTGCTCCTGTTTTGTGTGCTACATGCGACTCAAATGCTCAGCTCTCCACCAAGGTATAAAAGCTGCTGTTGGTTAATGAAGATTTGACTAATGAACTCGTGGCTTGAATTGACTCTTGTCTTGTCAAAAGTGATACGACTTTTCAGTTTTATGGATGTCGCCATCTTTGATATTACTTTGGTCACTGTTGCTATGGTTACTGATAAGACAATACAGGCTTGACTCACCTTGCACGTTCATACAGGCAGTATTCGAGACGCTACTGTAAGTTGCTGTGTGAACGGGAATGAATGTTGAGATTCATAACTTTGCTATTGAACGTTTAAAATATGTTATTTTGGTGTTGTTTCAATTACAGACTTTGAGGCTGCAGATTGAGGATGCTGCATGTTGCGTTTCCTCTTTAAAGGATTAGTTCACCTCAAAATGAAAATTTCCTGATAATTTACTCACCCAAATGCCATCCAAGATGTTCATGTCTTTCTTTCTTCAGTGGAAAAGAAATTACGTTTTTTGAGGAAAACATTTCAGGTATTTTTCTCCACACAATGGACTTCAAGCGCCACTAACATGTTGAAGTCCAAATCGATGCAGTTTCAAAGGGCTTTGAAGAGCTTCAAAGGGCTCTGCACGATCCCAGCTGAGGAATAGGGTCTTATCTAGCGAAACGATCGTTCATTTTCTAAAAAAAATAAACATTTGATATATTTTTCAACCACAATTGTTCAACCAGAGATTACGTCATCACCTATAAGGAAATAAATAGTGGAATAAAGTCGTTATTTTTGTTTGTGGATTTTCATTTTTGGGTGAACTATCCTTTTAATTGTGACCGGCTCTGTGACTGGCACTCAATTTGCAGAGGTTTGAGTGATGCAATGTAATTTACTTTTACTGGACCTAATCAGTCTACTAAATATAATGACTGAGTAACAGGCAGGCTAGTAGGTAAAAATCAAATTTTATACTAGTTTATTTTCCTTTATTAGACTATGCAAACAGTAAATGAACTTGTGTTTTTTGTTGGATCTGGCAGGTTTGATCAGGATGTTCTAATCCAGTATCTGTCTAGATGAAGTCCTGGCTGGTGTAGCTGTATTTAACGACTTTTGATGAGGTCCACACTAATTCCTTTGCTCCGTCCAGTCGTCATCAGCGGAAAAATCCCCTTCTACGATTGTGTTGGTTGGTTATTTTCCCTAGCCTGACTACGTCAGACTTCGTACTTCCGCTCAATTTCAGTTCGCTTCTGTACTCGACCTATCTCTCAGTTTTCCTCCGGCCTGAAAACAGCCGGCCAATCAACAAACAGAAGGCGGGCTGAGAGCCGTGATGTAGACGCTAAGCGCCAAGTTTAAGATTGTATTTTAGGTTAGGGAAATAGAAAACGACCGCGGATATGGACACACGGGATGCAATTCGCTCTGTTATGGAGAATATTCCCGGCATTTGCAAACTGAAGCCCAAACAAGAAGAGTGTTTGTTAAACATTTTGAATGGAGGTGATGTTGTGGCCCTACTCCTGACAGGTTTTGGGAAAAGTTTAATTTATCAACTATTACCGATCGTCAGCGAGAAACTGGGGAGGCCAAAGGCCGGCAAGGCGATAGTTGTGATTGTGTCCCCCTTGGTTGCACTCATGGAGGATCAGGTTAAGGAGGCAGCAAAACTCGGTCTCTTTTATCTGTCGAGCTCGAACTGGCACCCTTTTGACAGGTCAGTGTCTCCTTTCTTTTCTAGTTCTTAAATATTGCCATGTCATGCTGTAATCTTGCAATTAAGTTGCAGCATTTCCGGCAGACTTGAGATGAACAAAGAGCTGTGTTTAACAGAACTAATCCTAACTTTGACAGTTGGCTGCAAATATTTTCTTGTTTCTCTCTACTGTCAAATATTAGTTTAGAGGCCCTGATTGTACTGTGGATGCGTAGATTTACTTCACATAATCTGCAAAAGTCGTTCACAGCCATGTTCACTCCGGTATTTCGCTCGATGGTTTCGTTTTCGCATCATACATGTTTACAGTGGAAGTTCGATGCGGCTGAGCTGGCGCTTAACACACGTCATAACCAAACGTTATGTGATTGGCTTACGGGTAACCAATGATTTTATACTTCAGACAAGCGCCCCCCCGCGAGAAAGAAAACACTTTTCGATTATGCCATTCCAGACTCTGTCTACGAAGCAAAGCGAAGTAGCAGAGTTTGGTATTACCAGGCTATATTTTCCCCGCTCTAGCTAGAACTTTACGGCTAGGGAAATGGATTTTTGGTATTGTAATGTCAGGGGAAAAAAATAATACAGACATAATTTAAATGCGGGACACTGCTTATGTCTTGCAGGACGTGGGACAAAGCTCCCAAATTCGGGACTGTCCTGCATTTTGGGTGGACCATGGGCAGCATCTTGCATCAGCCACGTGTTGAGCTTTTTTTACGTTTTTCAGATATTTACCGATTCAAGACATTGTCCATAAGCACTTCCCTTGGTTCCACGGTTTCACTTGTCTAAAAATAAATTAGCTCGTATCTTTCTTTTCTATCTATTTTGATGCTTATCCTCATAGGGGTCTGTTGTTTGGTAGTGTTATGGTTGTTTTCGTTGTTGTGAAAACTATAAATAAATCATTAAAAATAACTAAATTAAATCTACTTCGAAAATTGATTTCAGACAGGCTTTCCAGACACCATATTGTAATTTCTACTGATTTAGAACGAATTCAAGAGATCTAGACATAACCAAACAAATATTCTTCAATGTCAGTGCTTACTTCCTAGTTGAGACAAATAGATGCATGGAATGGAGTCCGGACACAACAGACACAATTTTTATTCTTTTCATCACCCGCTGAACTGCATGTGACAGATAGTCGCAAAATCATAAGTTGCATTTAAGCATGCTAGTTTGTGCTAGGGCCAGTCATGTTTCCACTGTCACATCCTGGGGCTTGATCGGGCCTCCTCGGGGCCAATGGCGAGGGGTTTTTGGTCCGCCGAATACCTTGACACAAAGCGGGCCAACATGAACAAAGGTGGAGTTTATCTGATAGGGTCAGGAGAGGGTCAACACCACTGTTCATTTTCCTTGTTATCAGGCTAAAAGCTAACAAACATTTAAGACATTTAAAACTCACTTTCAGATACCAGCGAGTGTCTGAAATAACTTCTAATTGCGATCTGATGGGGATTCTGATCATTGTATGAGGCAGAAATATAAAGTTCCATCTGTCTTTTCCCTGTGCCTTTGTTGATATTGGACTTCTGCATCTGCATATGTTATAAATTACTCTGGTTAACTCTCTTTTTTTCCCTGTCTGTAAGCTCTTGGTGAAAGAATAACAGTATAGTGAGATGGGAGAGATCACTCAGACCTCCCCAGATTGCATAATAGAAATGCTCATTCTTTCTAAAGAAATGGGACATGAACATGATATTATATCAGTATTTTTCTAAATGTGTAAGCCTTTGCACGTAAAAGCCTTAATGGAGTTGTTTTGTGCATTTCTGTGATCACAAATAAATGGAAACAGACTTTTTATGTGAGATAACGACAAAAACCAGCTCTGGATTTCTCAAAAGCATCGTAATCCTAAATAGGTAGATCGTAGAACCATTGGCCCCAATAGTCTCTATGATCAAATTAGATCACAATGCTTTTTGGAAACGCACTCCATTTTGATTCAGAATTATTGATGTGCACTCCTGACACAAATTAATAAATTACTTTTACTGTAAGATTTTGTCGTCATTGGTGAAATATCAATGCTGGAGTCTTAAGTGTTTAAAGGTGCAGTAAGCAATTTCTGAGAATCATTGTTGAACACTGTTCATATTTTAAGTCAACACAAACAAAGCTTTGCGAAAAATAAAGTGAAGATGACGAATAAACGACAAGGAAGAACAAAAGATGAAGTACACAAGTGTATACAAGCAAGAGTTTGTTGTTAGTTGCAGCATACACCCAAAACCAATGTTACTCGGGTATGGAGCAGAAATAATGCAACCTCAGTGTCCAGTGTCAGGCCTTACTGCTTAGGTCTCTCCAGTGCTGGAAAGCTTTACTGGGTCTTAAAACGTGGATGTGGGTCTTAAAGCTCTTACCTGATCATAACCCTTCAATTTCCAGTGATATTCCTCTGATCTTTTCTCTTTTGTAATGTCTCTTAGCCGTCTCTCTTCCAACAGTCTTTCTACAAATCTCCCTCTTGCTTGCTCTTTCTCCTACCCCATCACGAGTGTGTATGCCCCTACTGCTGATTGGCTAGTTTGTTGTGGTGCTTGGTCCAATCCACTTTCAACAGCGTTTTCCAGAAATTGCTTACTACATTTAATATCCACTTCTGTCATGTTCATTCCACCAGGGTTGCCTGGTCTGCACAACAAAACTACTGCAATGGGTCAATCAACCCACGGAATAAAAAATCAATTTAGCAACTCAAAAGTAGCCGAATTTTGCAGGAAAACAACAGACTTGACAACTCTGTAGTCAGCTATCCCCATGCTGGTGAAATGGTGGGGTTGTGTGACGCTGTTCTATGGAGGCTGGTTAAGGATGGGTTTTCGTGTAGCATTGCGGGGCTGCTGCCCCGACAGTGGAATCGCAGCTTTATTTCAGCCTTGTGGCTAGAGGTCCAACTTCCAAGGCTATTGGCCCCACCCGTTCAGATTAGTCTTGATGCTCTTCTATATACTGTTTTTCAGTAATATCAGTGACTGACTATTTTTCAGTAATATCATTAAAGTTAATGTTTATGTAGAAATATCATTACAAGTGGTGCATTTAAGATTTCTGGTCTCAATTTCAATTTGTTTTAAAACCTAAATGTCATATTCATTATTATTTTTTATTAATATGATTGTGCTTCCTTTCTGTGTTGTTCTCCGTTTAACTGATTTTTTTTTTTTAATAGACCTGAAAATCAGAATCACAATGTCATCTGAGGAAGAGGAGGCATCAAACAGTAACAGTGGGCAATCAGAAAGCAAGCTGAAGAGCAAGAAGCCACCCAGTCTGATGATTGCAATTCCCAAACCTGAGTCTGACAAAAAGGTATGAGTCTAAAATAAAGGCCACAAAAATAAAGGTCTTTTCTGTGTGAAAAAAAAACAAAAACATTCTGTTCAGCTGCAGCATGTCTCACACAGAATGCCATGGATCTTAGGTTTACAGTGGTGGTCAGAATTATTTGCCCCCTTGGTAAATATGATCAAAGATGGCTGTAAAAAATAAATCTGCATTGTTAATCCTTAACCCTCTGGGGTCTGAGGTGTTTTCAGGGTCCTTGAGATGTTTTGGCATGCTCTGACATTTCTGCTTTTTTCAGTTGCTTATAAACATATTAATGGCACAGGTTAAATTACACTCTATATAGCACACACAGGGCTACCATAATATGTGAACAACATGTTAATACATGTTTGTATTGTTGAGAGAATATTGTTTATGCGTGGTTATTGAAAAAACTAAAAAATAAAGTTTATAATATAAGGCCACAAATAACATACTAAATATCTGTCCACAAGACTTTTGACTAGTGGATGTTGTCGCCTAGAGTTTTTGCTTCGAATTGATCTGAAAATCATTCTGCCTAATCATTCACATAAAACAATAGATTGTTTTAAATTGTGAAAAACATTTTTTTGTTTGCAAAGGCAATATGCGGATGGGCGGAACGGCCCAACCCACTCATGAATAATTAGGCAGTTCTCACCTGAGCAGACTGCATACTAATGAGCCTTTCATTCAGTGGTGTCACACAAGAAAGAATGCAGGGACAATATATATATATATATAAATAAATAAATAAATATGTATACACACACATATATATATATATATATATATATACACTACCGTTCAAAAGTTTGGGGTCAGTGAGAATTTTATTTTTATTTTTTGGAGGAAAGAAATCAATACTTTTATTTATCAAGGAATAATTAATTTGATCGAAAGTGACAGTAAAGACATTTATAATGTTACAAAAGATTCTAACCCTAACCCTATTAATCAAAGAATAAAAAAAAATAAAAAAAATAAAAACTGTACAACTGACAGACCAACAACTGTTTCAACATTGATAATAATAATAAATGTTTCTTGAGCATCAAATCCTCATATTATACTGATTTGTGAAGGATCATTTGACACTGAAGACACTGACACTGGTGATGCTGAAAATTCAGCTTTGATCACAGGAATAAATTACACTTTACTATATATTCACACAGAAAACAGCTGATTTACACTGGAATAATATTTAATACTATAACTGATTTTTGTTGTATTTTTAATCAAATAAGCGCAGCCATGGTTAGCAGAAGAGAATTCTTTTAAAAGTATTTAAAATCGTACCGACCCCAAACTTTTGAACGGTAGTGTGTATATATATACAAACAATCAAAATATAAATGAAAGCCAAAAGCACATTTTTAGTCACACCTTTTAGCCATCCACATACCATTTTTAGCCATCCACCGCGGTCAAAATAAACCAGTCGCATTTCAAAGTCGTTCGCGAAACGACCGCCAGGTGGCGCAAAGGGACATTTAGCAAAACGTAAGTGGGGCTAATGTCTGTAGCCTAAGGATGAAATACTACAAGTTATGGTAATTTCCAAATAAGCCTACAACAAACATTTATAGCCTACTCCGTAATTGTTGGTCATACAGATAAGATATAATCTTTTAAAACTGTAAAAGGCTAAAGTATAGGCCTACACTCACAGGCTAAATGAAAAAATCGCTCATGTGAGAAACAGACGTTTGGGTATTTCTCAGTGAGTAAATTCATAGCCGAGCGGTAGAACTTAGGGTTCATCATCAAGATGACACGGGTTCAAATCCCGCACAAACAAGGTCTGCTGTATATTTTATATTTATTTAGATTTGTCTAGCTCTAAAACTCTGTTACACCATACAGTTTTTTTTGCTTATATTTATAAAATACAATTATCATGCATTTCCATTTTACACTAAGGAAAAAAAATAGTATCCAACAGAACGACTTTGCATCTGTATAATAATAGGCTACCAATCGTAATTTCAAAAGCAGTTATGTAAAAAAAAAATTATATATAGCCTATATATATATATATATATATATATATATATATACTATATATATATATATATATTTTTTTTTTTTTCAGGGCTGCCAACTCTCACGCAATTGACCCAAATCTCACGCTCTCACGCCACACCCCCGATTTCTCACGCTGAAGTGTCAACCCGGTCGGTCAAATTCCTAAAAGATATAGTTTATCTATAGATCTACCTGTTGAGCCACTCGTGATCGACTAGTTATACCGCAAATTAGTTAAAATATCCCGTAATCTATCTAGAGCGAGCGTGCATGCGAGACAGATATTGTGCTCCAAACCATGCGCGCGCATGGCAGAGAGGTCTGTTCCCTACAACCTAGAGTTTTTAAAAACATGGTTTTAAGTAAAGTGTGATTTGCCAGGGGGGACTAGGATTTCCTTCTGGTCTAAACATCCCTGCTTCTGCTGAATTATTTTAATCCCCCCCGTAATTTTTTGGTCATACAGATAAGAGTAGGCTTACATCGTTCAAAACTGTAAACTTGTATTCATATAGGCTAACGACAAAAACAGTATAGGCCTACAGAGGATCTACTCAAACATGCAATGTAAGCGCTTCCCAATGAGAAAATGACAAGACAAGGGTGAAAATCTCGCTCTATGTAGGCTAAATCGCCCTGAATTAAAATGTAAAAACAAATCAAATAATGTATTTGTCGAAATGTTGCGATATTGTTTCATTTAAGTTCATAATTATTCTATAAATGTTATTTAATTTAGCAGCATTACCACGAAGCACCGTGTTTCGATATTTATTTGAATAATACAAAATAAAATAAAAACTTGTTGTCATGAACATTTTGTTCATGACAACAAATTAACATGCGTTTTTTCAGATTATATTTAGTTTTGCTTGGAAAAAGCTGGCCCAAACCAGTTTTATTTCATCAATTATTGAAATAATGAAATATTTAGTAATAAACTTTTGTGACAGAAATATCACTAGGCTACATGTAACTTAAATCATTTAATTCCTTCATTATCAACACTGTCTAGAATAGGGATTTAAGTGTGAATTGCGACTTCTCTTTGTGTTAAGTCAGCCTCAGACTCCGATAGCCTGTGGGGGGTTGGAGGGACATTGCTGGACAAAGGTGTTAATGTTCCTCTTTCATATGGAGAGTGTCGGATAGCCAGCCTGATGAGCAGGCAAAATTATTGTAAGGATAAATCTGTGTCCAAATGTAGACCCCATATCTTATTAAATTATAAATATTGTAGTTTATTTATTGTAGCCTATTTAAAGTTTTTTTCACACAAAATTTCAATTGAAGTTATTGTAAGGTGAATTCAACAAGGCATGCTGTGTCTTTGAAGCAACAATTAAAGGTTAAATAATTTTTTCGTGATTTGTATGGCTGACACGCAGCGACATATACAGTATTATCAGCTGTATGATGTGTTTTTACCCTGAAATGTTTAATTTCGAGAGAGAGACCCGCGCGCGCAGCGAGGGAGACTAAATAAACTTGTTAAAAAGAGATCCAGTGCGAGAGAGGCAAAGAGAAACGCATGTTTTTAATTTAATTATGTTTCTTTGGACAATTTTCGTTTTGTAGGCCTACTGTTTTAATTGTTTAATTTAGCTGTAATTTCTTTGGCAATACAAATTTAAAATGTCGCAAGAATAAGATTAGCCTAGTGTTTCTTGCATCGCAAAAGAAATAAACTCTAAACAAGATGCAACCCTGTTTTAAATTAAACAATTTAAACCTTGAAATGTTCGAACTTGGTTTCAAACTTAAGTAATTTTAGTGTTCTTTTACATTACACAATAATTTAGCAGACTAAAGACGAGCTTCTTCATTTTCATTTTCTGATGCAATCGGCTCACAATCTTCCTTCATCAGTTTTTGTCGTTTGTGCAGCGGCTGCGGTTCTACAGGAATGTAGCAAATTTATGTTGTAATGATAATCAAACAAAACTCTTGACTTTAAATAAGTAAACAGATATAAACAGTTACCTATTTAAGCATCAAGGTGGGAAAATATAAACGTAGGACAACATCGGTTAACAACATGTATAATACATTGAGATTCGATCTCGGGTCGAATGAAGCTCCTCGAAGCTCGTGTCGTTGCGTTGATCACTGAGCTGTCTTCTGTATGCTGTTAAAGTTGTAAAGCCTCATTCATGTAGCCTAAATGTTTTTATTGCAATGTTTTATGTTGAAATGTTTTCATTATTTATTCAATTACATTTCAGTAGCCTAATTTCAGTATTGTGATTATGAATTATTTTAACTACGTTTCACTTGTTGAATTCTTCTGCTACCAGCTTTCAATCGCTCTGAATCAGCGCGGTGCGGCAGCAGATTACGCATTAGAGAGAATAAACCGGAATAAACGAACACTTTTCAGAGTCTATGATTGTAGCGCCTCTTAGCGGTAAAAGGCAGCAAATACACCACACATTTTACCGCCGCGGTGGAACGGCTGATGTGGGCATTGTCATGGCTTGCCTCGACATTTGCGTTTGAATAGCGCGCGTCCTCCGTGGGCGTGTCAGATTAACGCGTAATGAAGTGTAATGAGCTGGGGAAAAAAATACTGACAGCACTCTCTTTTCATACAGATTGCATAAACTGAGAATATTTGTTTTTTATATAAATTACTTCATTTAAAAGAAGAGAATTTAAGCTTCATAAAGAAAAACCTCTCGTGCCTGTGTGACAAGTAATCGCGGAGTTACAGTTAATCTTAGGACGCGTTTCAGAATGGACTTCACTGACAGAGAGAACGCAGAACTCGCATCATGTTTGTTTTTCTTTATTTGGTGAAAAGCACAACACTTTGTTTTTATTGTGAGTATCCACAAAAAAAATAGAAACTTAACAGGATCTAATGATGTACAACACTTATATGTAAGATCAAAATTAACCGAGTATTTTGAGTCTCTTTTACACTGATAAGAAAAAAAGCGAGACAATCGCGCCGGCGCGATAGCCGA